GCCCAGGGCTGTCTTCTTCTCCCCCAGGACACAGACTGTTGAGCAGGGGCACAGACTCCCAAGCCCACGCAGCTGCCCCTCTGCCCTGGCTAACAAACGCCCCTCAGACAATAAATAGCACGGCATAGGTGTGGTGGGTGATCTGAAACCTTTTATTAGTGTTTGCAGTGTAAGATGCAATCTAGCAATGTACAGTCCCCGTGGCCTAAACCCATAGCAGAGATGCCTATTCTGACTTCGTGAGGCCTTGTGGTGCCCTCTCTGAGACCAGGCAAGTATGTGTGTGTGTGTGTGTGTGTGTGTGCACGCGCGCGTGTTTGTTGTGGTTCCTTCCTTAGGAAACAGCCACTGGAAGCACTGTTTGCACATGTTGTTGTGGGAACGCCTCTCACTTGATTTGAGTTCACATTTCTCTGCGTGCGCATGTGAAGGTAGAACCAGGCTGTGCGCTGCTGCTTTCTATTTACATAGTTTCGGATGTCAGTGGTTTGCTCACCCCAGCCCTTCCATTTCAGAATAACAGAGCTATTTATTGATACCAGGGAGAGGTGTTCAGATCATCCTGTTAAGATGCGAAATTCAAAGTAAATATCCTATCTGCCCTTAGAGTTCCACATCCTTCCTCCCAGACAGGCTCAGGGGTACTGTGTGTGGCGCCGGAGCCCCAGCAGAGGGTTGGTTTTGCATGGCTCCTTTTGCTCACAGGTGAGCTCGTCCCTTGCTACATGCTCACAGGATTTGGGCTTTCTTTGGTTTTCAGCAAAATAACATTAGCCATAAAGATGATTGCGTGCTTCCAATGACGCCAGGACCCAGAATGACATGATATTGACCTGACTTTTTTTTGGTGGGGGGATCCCCCCCACAAACTAGTGCCATGAGAAGTCCACAACAGAGATCAATTAAGGGTAGGGACAAAGGAACATGGGGATTATGTCCCGTAGGGGCAGAAACACGGGAATACTAAGTACAAGTGACATATATTTACATTTAAGAAACCAATGGGAGGCTTGTAAAACATTTAGACCTCTGTCTAAACATATCAAAGCGAAGCCTCTCCAAACCCAGGTGAGGATTCTCTCTGGCTAACCAGCAGTGGTGGAACAGCACGGGAGAAGGTCATCGCTTTACCTTTTGAGTGACAGTGAGCTAGACAGTGGACATGCTGATGTGCCACCCAGCCAGCAGGAGACAGCGTGGGTCAACTTCCTTTGGCAGGGCCTGACTCTCCATCCCCACCCCCACTCCTCAGTGTAGACCCCCACGAAGTGCATCATGTCTCTGCTGTGTCACCAACTCCCTCTCCACCTGGTGTGTTCCCCCAGCCCGTCACACCCCCACCCCCAAACACCTGAAGAGATTCTTTCCAAGACTGACCCTCAAAGAACCATGTCCTGGGAGCAATGAGATTGGATTTTGGAGATACAAATACCAGTTGAGTTTGGGGTGTGAGTAGTCCCTGGAATGGAGTCTCTGGGTGGTGCAGGGAGAGGCTGCCAACTCAAAGGCTGGAGGTTTGAGTTCCACCCTGAGGTACCTTGGAAGAAAGGCCTGGTGCTCTGCTTCCCAGAGATCCACCATTGACCACCTACAGGGCATACCTCTACTCTGAATGAAGGGGTTAGACTCCACTCACCAGCAACTGGCTTATTCCCTGGAATAAGTCATTTTAGAGCAGGCCAACTGAGTGTCTTTGCTGTCTCTGGTCTCAGGTTGTTCTGTGGGAGAGCGGACGGGAGTTGATGTATAAAGGTGGGTACCTTATTTTGGGTCCCTTCACTAGAGCAGGAGTTGGCATACTATGGCCCATGGGGCCTAATCTAGCTGGGAACACGTTCAAAGTTTTATTGGCACATAGCCAAGCTTATTTGCTGATGGATTGTTTGAATGGATGGCACTGTGGGGTAAGCGTTGGACTGCTAACCACCAAGTCAGCGGTTCAAACCCACCAGCTGCTCTGAGGGAGCAAGGTGAGGCTCCCTGCTCCCAGACAGTCAGT